AGCGGATCCACATCGCCACACGGCCACCACGCCTCGTCCTCGTCGCCGCCGCTCTTGTTGGCCAGCGAGGCACCCAGCTTAAAGTTGGCGTCGATCGGGTTGGTACCCGACGACGGCGGTCGTGGCGATCGGTCGAGGTCGAGCGACCTTACCGAGCGTCCCGGGGTGCCGGGAAGCGAGGTGCGCTTTGGATGCACCTGCGGCGTGCGGATCGAGGGCGAATGGGTGCTGCTCGTCTCGCCCGCTTGCGTGGGAGTGGGACGTGGAGATCGCAGCTCTGCACCGTCGCGACCGGGCGTGGCCAGATCGTCGCCGTTCGGAGTCGTGGTCGAAGGGACATCGTCGTCGTCATCGATCGACTTGAGTCCCAGAATCGAGGCGGCGCGGAAGAGCGACAAAAAGTCGTGACCTTCGTTCAAAGCAGCCGCTTGCCGCGTGCGGGAGGGCGACTTGCTCGTGCGCTCTGCCGACAAAGTGCCCGTGGCAGAGTCTTCCGGAATCGCATGATCCGACAGCGACGTGCCGATACTGGAGCGCGACGAGACGGTGGTGAGGTCGAGCATGCCACCCTCCTGCACGGGCCGCAGGTCGTGCGGAGCATGCCTAAGGAAGGCCGCATCGCGAGTGGAGCTGCCTGCCGACGAGCGACGCCGACCCTGCGCGCTTGCTCCGTTTGCACTATTGCGCATCATCTGAGCACGCAGCGCCGCGTCATCGTCGTACTCGTCCAGGTCGATCGCTTCCTCGTTGCACGGTGTCTGGTTTGCACTTTGCTGGCGGAAGCCCGAGCGGAAGCTCGAACGGCGTGTGACTGCGTCCGAGGCATGCGCGCTGGATTTCGAGTCGGCCGCATCATCGTGCGCATCGCCGGTGGATCGATCGAGGAACGACTTTTTGCGACCAAATTCGAGGATCTTGGCCATCATCGAGGGGCGGCGCGCAGGCTTGGTGGGTGTAGTTGGCGATGCAGGCTGCTGCGGTGTGGTGGGGCTGACGCTCTCGCTGTGGCCGGTGAGCTGTGTGGGGCTCGAGACGGTCCCCTCTGTGATGCTGGGAAGGTTGTTGTCGATGCCTTCGGGTGGAAGACTGAGGCCTCTCTTTGTGGCTGTCTGTGCGTCTTGTGCGGTGGAGATGGAAGCCAGCTGCTGATCGGAGAGACCGTTAGCGATCGAGGACACGGCACCGAACGAAGCGAGACTGTCGGGGCTGGTGACGGGCCTCAAGGCGGCGCCGCCACTGGAGAGGCTCGAGTTGCGTGGTCTGCGCCTTCTCCAATCGGACGAGGTTGCGGACTTGGCGGAGCTGGTGCGCTGCAAGCTAAGCGCGCTTGCATCCGAGTGTCGATGAGATCGTGGTTTAGGCGGGGGCGGAGCGAGGCCTACTGCGTGGAGATCGAGGCGAATACGGAACGTGATGGTGTTGGACGATTCCGAGTCGCGATGCGAAGACGACGAGGTGGAGCTGGCGGGGGACGACGACGGCTTGGGCTTGGCAAGGCGGATGTAGGGAGCGGTGGGTGGTGGGGGATGAGCTGCGTGGCCGCTGCTGGATACCCTCGAGTGCGAGTCTTCGTCGTCAGAGGCATCGTGATTCTGGGAGCCCGGGTTGTTGCCGCGTCGGAGCCAGCTGAGTTTGAGCGCGCTAGCCCCACCGAGGCTGGTGGCGAACGACGACTTGCGCGCGTCTGTGGCCTGACTAGGGCGTCGACCAGGCTGCTTGGTGGAAGCGGCTCGCGATACGCTGCGGATACGGCGGCGGGGCTCCTTGTCGGCGCCGGTCAAGGATCCGTCTTGGTTGTAGCGGGCATCAAAGAATTCGCGCAGGTTGCGAAACTCTGGATCATCGTCTGCATCGTCGAGCAGCTCGATGAGCTTTGCAAAGGGCTCTACGGCATCGACGGCTCGGGTATGGTTGAGGAGGAAAGAGAGCGTGTCGAGCGAGTGCGGAAGATGGCGGGTGTGGATGGGCTCGAGCTTGGTGTTTGCGCCGACGCGGAGGTTGTCGGTCTCGTGGAGCGACTCGGAGCTGTGTGCGGGGTCCTTGATGTAGGGTACAGCGGCATAGTCGAGCGTGGGCAAGGGCTCGAGGTGGAGCGCAAACGCCAAGGTGAAGAGCTGATGGAGCGCCATGCCCTGAGACAGAGAACGCTAGGTTGGGAAGGCTCGTTTGTGCATGCGGAGCAGAGACGATGAAGAGAGGGCGGGAACGGAGATAACGGTGGGTGAACAAGCGCCAGCGCACGTCGACTCGCTATGCCGATGTGTGTTGGACGGTGATGGTGATGGTTGGCAAGGTGGATACCGCGGCGGAGGATGGTGTTCGAGTGATGACGCCGAGGGCGAGTGCGAGTGAGAGTGGTGCGTGTGGGACATGTGGAGCTGCAGCGCGCTGTGTGGGTTTTGGCTTGGATTCGCCCACTTTTGCCAGCTGAGTCGCCTGTGCACCGAGAGCACCGAGTGGAGGTCTGCTCCGCCTTTCCGCACTGCGCTGGGCAAGAGAGAGCGGTCCTCGCACCCCGCAACAATTGTTGGTCGCCGTTTGGAGCGCTATTTCTGGGCTGGAAACTCTTATTCCCCTCGAAATCTTGCGCCCAAAATCCCATGTGCGAATCCAAACCTCGTCTCGCTTGGAGGCGGTCGTGCAGCCCCCCCGTGCAACAAAGCGTCACTCCCCCACTCTCTTTCGTCTTCAGGTTCGCTCCAGCAAGATTGCCGTCGATCTTCACTCATGCAGCAGCAGCACGACCGATCGAGCCCGCCGGTCATCCAGCAAATGCGATCGACACTGGGCGTAATCTTGCAAGCTCTCCCGCTCCACACCTCGCTGCTGAAATCAAACTCGATTGCAAAGAATCCAAACAAATGCCAATACCCAGCAGGAAGCTCGGGGAGACCTTGCGCGCGCGACACATGAGACCCGCAACACCAAAACCAACAAGACGAGCCAAAGACCGAACCAAGACCGGATACGTATACATGAGTGCAATCTGCCCAGACGACGAGAGCGGCGCATGGGAGAGCTGCGCGTGGGGGCGGCTCAGTGCGCGTTGAAGTGGCCCATGAGGAGACGCTCGCCCATGGGGCTGGGCTTGCGCTTGGTGTTGCCGCTGAAGCTGGGCTGCCTGCCGCGCGCCACAGGCTTGGGCTCGTCCATGCGCTCCGAAAAGCACACGCCCGAGTCGCGCGTCACGGGGATCGTCTTGGGCGACGCCGATCGCGGGATCGCCGCCGCATTCGACGCAGATTCGAACGCAGGCGCCACCGGTGCATTCGACGACACCGCAGTGGAAGGCGCACGGTACGAGTTGCCGCTCAGACTGAAGCGTCGCAGCAACCCGCCCATGGGACCCGTGCCGTTGGCGTTGCCGTCACCCACGGCGCTGCCCTCGTCGATGCTCGTGCGCGTGAGCGTGGGCGAGAGCGCGTTGGAGCGCATGGAGCCCATCCAGCCCATCTTTTGGCCCCAGCTGCCGCTGTTGAATCGCTTCTGCGCCTGTTCGTACGACGCACCCAGCGGCAGCGACGGCACTCGTCCCAGCGAGTAGCCCGCGGCCGCCGACGACGAAAGCGAGCTGGTGGGGCTCGTGGGCGAGCGCGAAAACGACAGGTCCGACGCAGACACAAACGACGACGACTGCGAGCCCGCCGAGTCGCTCAGCGCCGACGATCGTGGGTCGATGCGGCCGGCATTCCAGGGCTCGGTGCTCGAGGCGATGGTGCCTGCGCCGATGGTGGTCTGGGAGCGCGCGCGCGTGTGGCACTGCGGAGGCGACATGCGCGCGTCGTCCTTCTTGGATGCGCTGGGGCTGAAGCCCACGGAAAAGCGGTTGGTGGGGCTCGAGGGCCCCATGGTGGAAGTCATGCCCGTGGGAATGCGCAGGCCGGTGGCAGGAGCCGAGGAGCGCGAGTAGTACGAGACGGGAGGCGAGAACGAGAGCCTCTGACCTTCGCTGGTGCGGATCTCGCTCGAGAGGTCGACGGGCGCCGCAGTCGAAGGCTTGTGTCGGTAGTGGGCAGACTTTTCGGGGTTAGGAATTGCAGTTGGCGAAGCCATGGGCGATCTTGTCCAGCAGATCAACGGTGAGAGGGTGGGCTTGTCAAGTGTGACTTGGGCGAAGCGGCGAGTGGCGCGCTTGGGTAATTGCGATTCGTCGAGCGAGCGATCCGGGGCGCACGGCCCCTGGGTCGTCGGACGTGGACGGCGATGAGTTCAGGCTTTGAGCAGACGCTGCTGCACGGTTGCGCTGGGCAAGCGGACGCACGCGGGTTCAGCGACGAGTAGGATCGATGTCGGTGTAGGAAGGGAGAGTAAGCCACGAGGCTGTCAGATGAAAGACGATGGATGTGCGGGCGAGATCGGTGGTGGTGGTGGTGGTGGTAGAAAGGCAACGATAAGACCAGGCTGGGGCTGAGCCAAGAAGGAGGGAAGGGGGGATGGAGGGCGTGTACCGCTGCTGAGCGTGAAGGGGGAGGGATCTTTTCACTCTGCTTTTCGCTCCAGGACGTCGGCGGTGGTGGGGCACAATCGCAGTGGCAGCAGCCGAGCTGCAGAAGGGGCAGCCAAAGTGTGGGGAAGAAGCCGAAGCAGCGCTGCTTTGCCAGCTGCCTCTCGAGCCACGGCTGAGGATGCACAGTCCAGCGGCACGCACGCACGGCACCCAAGCTGAGCATGCATGCGAAAGGCAAGGGTCCCTCTTTTTCAGCCTGTGCCGACTCGCATGTGGCCGCGGAGACTCGACTGCGCACTCGTTGTGGCACCGCAACGCAGGTCCAGACCTCTCCGCCGACGGGTCAGGTGGGTGGCTGTCCGAGTGCCATCCTGACAGAGGCGGGGTAAAGCAGGAGAGACAAAAAAGGGCCGAAATGACGCGGCTCCAGTTGCCTTGGACGTGCAGCCAACAACCTTATCGATGGCCCTCGCTTTTTTCTTTCTTTCTCGCTCGCCCATCGCCTCGAGGAATTACATCGTCTTCTCGCTCGCACACTCGCAAGCCTGCAGTGCATAAGGAGTCGGGCCGTTCGGACGAGCGCCGATAGCACAGGCCAGATGAAGAGATCACCTTGCCAACTGAGATTGACTACGCATTCGAAGCGTATGAGGTGGAGAGTGGGTGGCAATGCATGCTGCGTCGACATGCAGCCGACCCCACAATTTTTAGCAAGCTCATGCATGTGGTTCGTCGAGGCACTTGCGCAATGTCTCGAATCCTCTCCCCCCGTCGAGGCGAAAATCCAAGCGAGAGCGACTGGAGCCGTGCGAGCAGCCGCTTCTCCTGCACACTTGCAACGATCACACCTCCCTCCCGCCGCGCCACGCCCTGGGATGATCATCGACAACCAGCGCAGTGGATTCAGCAGCGGGAAGAATTTTCAGCCATATCACCGCGATCCTCACGCTTGTCCGCGGCTTCAATGGCGCATCGTCCCGACCGAGGTTGTCACGCCTTGACCCACCTTCGCAGCGACGCATCGAGGCGGCCGCGAGGCAACGCATGCACGGTCCGCCGTTCTTCGGTCTTGCAAAGTCCTGCGCGCCTCGAGTAGTGCTTCGCTTGCGGAGAGTCTAGCCGAGCGCAAGTGCCTCCCATCCAGCCTGACCTTGTCTTCAACCCTCCCGACAGAAATGTGGGGTAAAAAGTGTTTTAGGCTGGCCACCACCGATCTCGAGAGAGCGGTCGGCAATTTGTCGCCGCACCCCTCGTTGTCAGATCCTTCTCGTCATGTTCACCACTCTTCGCGCGCCACATCGCGTCTCCGCGGACGTTTGCCTCACACCATCCGCAGTCGCATCGGGCTCGCACACGGACAGGCCGGAACTTGAAGCCCCGGTCTTAAGGATATACGCGGATGCAGGATGCCGAATCTCCCACCTGTTCACCACCACCAGTCGACTCATCACGCAACAAGCTTGGAATTGAACGCTGTTCCTATATGGCAATTGCACCGCTACCACATGTTGCCGAACTGCGTCGAGTGCTGGGTATTTTGCTGCATGAACGGTTGCTGCTGCGACTGTCCATATGCGTTCGGCATCATCGACGAGTGAAACTGTCCGAATTGACCTTGCTGTTGCGGTTGCGCTTGCTGTTGTACCTGTTGGCCGTAAAATGGCGCCGCCATCGTCTGTTGTCCAAATGCAGCCTGTCCCAGTTGTTGCGATTGTTGCTGCGGAACCGTCGAGGCATACTGCATCGTGTTGAACGGGTTGCTCGACGCATACCCAGGCGAGGCGATGGGCGAGGTCGAGAATGCCATGCTGCCCAAACTCGCACTGCGCTGCTGCTGGTACTGCGGAAACATTCCTCCGGGACTCAGCATGCCGGGAGAAACGCCACCCAGGCCCTGCGGCTGCGTCGCCACCGGCAGCGTACTAGCATGCTGTGGCATAGCCCGCATGGCACCCAACGACGTGCCTCCGGAAGGACTTACTCCAAACGGCGATGCAGGCGATGCTCCACCACCGCTGCTGGAAGCAGACCAAAAGTTGCCAGAAGGTTCCTGAATAGCCGGAGCGCTCAGGACCGCTTGCTGCTGGGCCTGCATCGCCGCCCATGGATTCATCTGCAGTGCAGGCTGCTGCGTAGTCGGCGTTGAGGACGGCTCGCCCAGCGAGATGAGATCGTCAAAGACGTTCGATTGCGCACTCGCTCCACCCGCCGGCCGCGAGGCAGCGCTGCTGCTGCCGTTGCGGCCGTCGAGCGCGCTCGATGTGCGTTGTGGCACAACTCCGCTCGGGAGCTGCAGCGTGGGCTGGGAAGAGGCTGCGGCCGTTGGGAGTGCAAACGCCTTGGTGCTCGGCGGAAGTGGCGGCGCATTTGCACCCACTCTTCTTTGAGCCTCACTCCACGTCGATGGGATCGGGGCCGTGCGCGATCGTGCTATACTGCTGCCCTGCGCCAGATTGCGCTGTTCCGACACGCCCGGAACTGGCGATCTTGACCGCCCGGACGATGCAGGCGGCGAGGTCAAGAAGGTGGCGTCCTTGGTGGGCACTGGCGGCGGACGACCCTCCATGAACCTGCGAAACTCGTACTTGCGGCGGATGTACTTTTCGAGCTCGCTATCGCGTTCGCTCTCCTCCATGTTAGTGGGCGGTCGATTGCGCATCTCGTCGGGGTTAAAGATGCGGTTGCTCTTGAGGTTGCCCATCTCCTTCATGCGGTCCACCTGCTCGCGCGTCCACGTGTCGAGGGTGATCGACTTGACCTTGGAGATGTGCACGCCCATCTTGCGGTGTACGCCGGCGCACTGCACGCAGATGAAGATGCCCAGGTTCCAGCTTGCCCATCGCGGCGCGCGACCCTTGCAATCGGCGCAAACATCGTTGCCCGGCTGTCGAACGAGGTCGAGCAGGATGCGCTGCTGCCGTTCCTGTGCCGCCTTGCTGTTCATCGTGCGGCCGTGGCGGTGGCCTTACTACAAGACGATATGAGAAGAGGCAAAGTGATTGTCTTGCCTTACGTCGTGTGGGTGTTGTTGGTCCGGAATGGTGGAGCTCCAGGATGTCGAGCGCCGCTTCATGCGCGGTTGGCAGCGGCGGGTGCACGCACGCGCGTGTGTCCGGCTTCCGAATTTTCTTTTTGGGGCCGACTTTTTTCGCAGTGCCAGCGAGCGCCGAGTTGGTTCTCGACGCGCATGTCGTGGGGCTGCGGCCGCTACTCTGCAAGCGCACTCGGGAGGACGACCGGAACATACGTTGGCATGGTGACCCGGAATGGGACCATAGCTGAAGAGATCCATGCTGTGGAGCGATTTGTACGATCACGGTCGCATGCAGGCCAAAGACATGCGAGTCAGGCACAGGCAACGCGAGATGGGAAGAGCGAATCGATCGGGCTCGCATCCGCCGTTGACATGCATCGGATCGATATGCTGTCCATCAAGGCCATTTGCCGCGCAGGCGCATTTTCCGACGTGGTTGCAACTCCGTCCGTTGTGTGCGTGCGGTTGACCGGCCACCCATGCCAAGGCGATGGTGAAGCGATTTTCCGAGGCTGCTTTCAACTCCGTCTTGGTGGAGTCTCTTGGCCCGGCAGCCAGACGTAAGCTGCGCTGCAAGACGCAGCAAGGTTCGGCATCGGCAACGGCATCATGCAGGAGGCTCAATGCACCCCTTCTTGATGACCATAGCCGGACGGGTAGACGCGGTGGCTGAGGTCCGCACCGGTGAATTCACTTCGCCGATGGCCGAGACGGGGCAAGGTGCAGGATCATCGTCTTGGAGCACAGCGCGAATGGTCGCTCGCAGCGAGGGACTGAACGGGTGAACCTCGGCGAGATTGGTGCAGAGGTGTGGAACAGCGGATACGGCTTCCCCGCACGATTGCCTTGCGCCCCGCAACGACACCGACAGCTTCTTGCCTTCAGCAGCCACGGTAAGCCACGCTCAGCTCAGTAAGTTTTGGAATGCACTGACGCTGTGGCGCGGCGAAGAAGATGGGGTCGAATCTCTACTCCAGGTCACTTGATCACGGCGAGGTCTTGGCACTCTTTGGAAGCCCGCCGACGCGCGGGACAGCTCAACGTCTCGAGATCTCGGAGGGGCCGAGTGATCATGGCGGAGGAGCGAAGAACGGGGAGCATCCCTGCGGGACAGCTTCAGGCTGGATGAGCAGGAACGCGCCAACGGGCAGAGACATGTGGCATTCAGTGTGGCAAGCCGAGTCTCGCGTGACGAGAGCCTCGCGCGTCCGCTGAAGGCGTGCGGTCGACGGTTCGCAGCGGACCGGTGAATGACCAAAGGACGAGAGGTTTGACGCGCGCAGCTCGCTAAAGCGCGGCCATGAACACAGGCGCGGCTGCCAAGCTCGGTGTGAAATTCGGCTACGCTCCGCAATCCCACCGGCTTACAAAAGAGGTGCAGCGAAGCTGCCGTACATTGTGTTCATGATTCGGCTGATCCATCCGCCGTCGAAGCGGACTTTAACCCGCCGATGTCGCCGAGTGCTCCTGCAGCGACCTTCTACGATTGTCGCTCCTCGTCTCCACACAGCTCCCCTCGACAACATCACGGGTGCCCGGTTTGAATCTTTGTTCTTACGAAAGATTTGCGACACGGCTGTTGTCTGAGCCAGCTTGATGGAGCGGCAAATCCGATGATTCCAGGGACTGCAATCGAGTGTGAGTCGCTTTGGCTGCCCATCGGCGAAGCGGCCGAAAGTTGGTGTAGCCGACGATTCCATTTTTCAAAGTCCGCCCGCGGCGGATTGCGGCGATCGGCCTGAGCCGTGTTTGGCTGCTTCTCTGGCTGCTCGCCTCGATTGCTATTTTCCGGCGTGCCGAATTTTCTCCGCACAGAGAGAGGCGCTAGGCGGCTGCTCTCCGCACCAAAGCGCTCTCCGCACGAAAAGAGAGCTGCACCCGCGCGCAACAATACAGCACAGCCGTGACAGCAGCCAAGGGTGGATTGGCTGGACCGAATTGGGCCACGCTCGAGGCACGCTTCCACTGCCTCCAAGTCAACTGCCGTGCTTCATGAGAGAAGGGCGTGGGGAAACCTTGGCCCCGCCGACACTGCCGTTGGCGCTTCCAACGGAAGTGCCGTTGACAGTTTCAACTCCGTCCGTCCCTCTACGCGCTTCTTCGACATCCAACTCCGCGTTCGCGTTCGACTCGACTCGACCACGGCTCTTGGAAGTTGGCCACACGAGTCGCACTTCTGCAATAGAGCCGGTCAACATCGCTTCGTTCTGCACAGGGTCTGCATAGCACCGAAACAGTTTGCTCTCCCATTGTTGGTGCACTTTGCCTGCTGAGATGGTCGAGCGCATCCAAGCCGTCGAGCGAGTGAGACCGTTGCATGTGGTGCTCGGGTGGGCCAGCTGCCGAGGTGGCTGGCAGTGCAACATGGCTCGCCGCAGCCAATCGTGTGTCGTAGGTGGCAGATGGCCAACGTCTTGTGGGGGCCCTTGAACCTCGGCTAGTGAGTCAGTCAACCGAGCCCTTTTTTTGCTCTCCCTCGCTCCCTCGCTCCCTCGCTCCCT